ATATTTTAGATTCTAAAGTTATTTTTGTCAAAAACTGAATAATGTGTGAGAGAAAGATTAACGCACACTGTAGCGGTACTGAAGCATTCAAATATTGTCTGAAGTCTTTTATTGACAGTAAAAAGGTAACGGTTAGTACTTTCCAATTTTTTGCACTAATTTTTCACTTTTTAGTTTTTGGATTGTTAAAGACGATAACAACAAAGGTTTACTGTTAGAGAACAACAATTTGCACTGAAAACCATAAATCGTTTGGTTTTTTTACCGAGTTAAAGGTATGTTACACAAAAATTGCATATTAAAATATGCAAGAAGGTGAAAAATTGGTCAATCTAAACAATAGCTTTTTCTTTGTCTATCATTATTATATATAATAAATAATTAGAAAATCCTCTCAGCAACAAATTATATTTCAAAAAGGTCAGGTCGAGAAAGCTTATGCTAATTTCTTGAAATTACACTAATCAAATTTTTGAAGAATTAAAGCTACCAAACTGACGTAGTAAAAGTATGTAAATTGATATAGTAGTAATGTGGCTATGTTTTAACTACATTACTAGTATATTAATTATAAAACTGTAGCAGTTTTATATATATATATATATATATATATATATATAAGTTAAAAAATACTGGAGTTTGAAAGTTATACGTTTTAGGACTCAGTCAGTATTTACCCTAAATAATTTATTTCACTGATTTAGGCAATTTAACTTTCCTATGACTTAATAAGAACTAATTGGTAAAAAACTTCTTAATGTTTATTATATCACAAGTTCTTAATCGTACTTGAGTGAAAGAATTTGATAAGGATGTTGAAAAGTTTGTCACAAAACAGTTCAAAGTTAGTGTGTAGAAAAAATTGCGTAATATTTATAAACTAATGTCTAAACTTTATGCAGGAATTGCTTCTTAGCTGTTCAAAGTTTTTTATTAGTGCAGTAATTTGTAATGTAAATAAAGCTGGTAAATAAGTAATAAGTTTCTAAAAAAGTTTTATTGCATATTCTCAGTTAAAGACAACTGAGAAAATGTTACAAAATTTGCTGAAATTGGGAATTTTTTTGATTTGGATTGAAGGTTTGATATCGTCGAACACTGAGCAGTTTCAGTGACATTTATTTGGTGTTATATATTTATTAGCCTTATTATACGTAATAAGCTGTTTTCTATTCAGAAAGTTTCTTCTGTTAATTGGAACCCTTAGAACGTTTGAATGTTTCTGCTTCAGTATGAAGATGAAAAGCAAAGTTATGCACTTGACTTAATTAACTGAGTTTCTATTTGTATCTGCTTTTCTCTCCACCCTTATTTGTTTTTCGCAGAAGAAAAAAACTTCCGTGTAAGTGGTATAACAAAGATTAAATACAAAACTGATATTATTGTATGAGAAAAAAATGATAAAAATTTGTTTTGAAATCTATCGTGTATAAAAAAAAAAGAAGATTGAATTCAAGACTGTGTCATCGACGGACTTATTTGCTCATTAAAGGTTTATTGAAACTGGAAGGATCCACCCATTTTCAATAAAAAAAAGTGTAATTTTTTTAGGATTTGGCAGTTTTTGTAAATATGTAGATTTATAAACTTTTACTATTGTTCTTTTTTTAGAAATTTTTTGTAACTATAAATTTCACAGTATAAAATTTGACTGTATAAGAAATGCTGTAAACGAAAAAAAAAGTGGATACAAGAACAGTTTGAAATTTTACGACTGTAAAACATTTAACGCCCTAAATACCTTTATGTGTTCTTCTGATGAGTAAATTTGATTCCAAAAGCAGTAGGCTATAAAGTGAACATTTTTAGTTTTATTTTAAGAGTCTATATGTATAACTGTTTTTCTTTCCTTAAAATTTTTATTCGCGATTAGTTAACAAAGCTGAAATATTTAATTGATATATGCTGAAAAAAATGAGCATTGAAATTCGCAGTTAAAATTGTATTAATTTAAAAAGTGCCTTTATAGTTGAAAAAATTGCCAACATTACGTATCAATACTTTTTAAAAAATTGGTCAACTTTGTCATACAATTATTGATTACTTATTTGTTTAATTAATTATTTAGTTAATTAGTTAATAAATTAATCTGCTTACTTTCTGAAATTTATTTTTATACTGTACAACATTAAACGTTTCGTTGCAGAAAATTTCATGATTATGACACAACTTTACATCGATTACCAAAGACTTCTCAAAAAAAAGATAAAAATTAAAATCTTTTTTGATTTATATACGTAAAAAAACAACAATGAAAATTTATCACGATAATATTTGTCATCTTCAGTGAAGTTTTCACTGTCGTGCTTGTTGAAAAGTGGCAATTGTGACAGTTTTCTAAATAAAAACTGTGTCAAAGTTTCTTGAACATAATAAAAAATACATTTTTATTATCAGCAAAGTTCTGAATTTGGAACTGAATAATGCTGCAAGTTTTACTGTTTTAATTACTGTATCAGTTATGGCTTTCAATTAATTTTACGCATTTACTACAATAAACAGCACCAATAAAAAATCTGCAACAATGACATTTTAAAGCTATACAGCAGTTGGGAACTCTTTGTTAAGAATATCAGTTGAAAAATTAACTAAAACTTTAAACACACTGTGCTCTGAGCAGAGATAAAAAGAAAAAAGACATAACTTAATCTTATTCTTACACCTTTTGTTACAATATTTGACAACACTGTTCTTTTTATGTTCTTCAGAAGGTATCAACACGTGAGATCGGATTGTCAACTTAAGAGAAATAAACTGCTTACTAATAACTTCTTCCGAAAAAAATTTTTTTTTAGATTAGTATTGTAAAAAAAAAAATTTTTTTTTGGAGAAATTATGTTATAAAAAGCCAAACGAAAAACAAATTTTTTTTTACATTGTTTTTTATGCGAACAATTACGACAAACCTTTGATTGTCTGTGATAGAATTCTTATTTAAAAGCATTTGTTGATAGTTGCTAGAAGTATTCCTTTTAGCTTCTTCTCAAAAGCTAAAATGCATTTGCTATTGTTGTCAGCATTGGCTTTGATCCCTGCAGGTAAATCAAAGCAAAAATTATTTGTCTAATTTTGTTATTTATTATAAGTTCTTTCCTCTTTTTTTTTTTTT